GTCTGCAAAGTTGAGGTTGACTGCTACCTGTGGATCAGATTTACCAAGCAATGAGTCGTGAAGGTTAAGGGGTCAGAGGGGAAGTACCTGAGGAAGTATTTCCATGTAGAATGTGATTAAGCTTGTTGAGTTGAACTTGTAAAACTTCATTATAACCATCAACCTGGGAGTTGAACTCAAGACCCTGCTGTTGTCTCTGGGAGATGCGGAGTGCTGAAAATTGTGCAACAAGACCGCCTTGGGCGGTGTGGTCTTGGCTTAGGGGAAGGTGGCTAGCCTTTAAAAAAAGAATCATAAATGGCGCCAAAGCCTTCCTCTTTCATCCACTAGACAGGATCAAACAGAAAATTAGGGGGGCGGTTTGATCCAAGGGGTGGAGAATCCAAGATTGTACAGCCAGACCTTCAGGAACCTTTGCCCTGCTTCTTTGCAATGGCAGGCTTTCCCTTCTGCCTGGGCCCTACTAAGCTTTGCTTAGGCTCCCTATTCTGGATTTCATCCAGAGCTGCACTAGGATCAAACCCGTCTAGGGTGGCGTTGTGGTCGGCAGCTGGTGCTGCTGCAACCGGACAACCCTGATATGCGCAGGCTTTGGCATCATTCACTTTCTTGTCTGCAGCTCCGGCCTTCATGCAGTATTCGTCCCAGCTAAAGGCAACCATGTCGACCTGGACAACCTCAAGCTCGAACGGAAACGGCTCTCCGAAGCCATTATGAATGGCGGCGAACTCCAATGGCCTGTGCTTTTTCCCTTGCGCACGCCTTTGCCCGATGTAGCCGATGAGTTCCTCGCTGCCTTGTATGTCTCGGCTTCGGCGAGGTCGAGGATGCGTTGTGTCCCCAGAAGACTTCGTTCCACTTCTGCCCCCACAAGCTTTCATTGTCCCCGATCTCAGTTGGCGGAGAATTGCAGATTTTGTAAGGTCCGGGCGCAGCTCAAGCCGGCCTTTAAACTCTCCTCCCACTTCGGAATAGAACAATCTCGCCCAAGCACTTGCGTCATCCTGAAATCCACGCTGTGCAGTTGGAGCCATCAGCGTCAGAGTTTTCCAGAGCACGAAGATGCTTGGCGGTGTGGCCTGGAAGTCGGGGTGGGAGTTGATGCAGCTGAGGAGCACACGAATCGGCGCTTCGAGCTTCCTGTGCCATTGCGGGCTGCAAGGCGAAACTCGGATGTGAACTCCATGCTGCGGGGTCTGCTCATCCACATACAAGCGGATTCCAGCCTGTCCACCGTGACGATTCATGAAGCCTTGGCGTTCCGACCACGACTTGAAGGTAATCATAGTCACTGTCGACCAGAGCTCACCTTGTGGCACTGTAACTGGCTCCACTTGCAGCACGTTGAAGTAACGACCAAACTCATGGGCGTTGTGGTCGTCGATAAAGCCTCTGTCTCGAAGGAAGTTCTGGATCTCCGGAACCTCTGCCAGCATCCATCCCAGCATGTAGAGGCGGGACTCTAGCTTGAATCCTGTCGGCCACCCAGAGTGAGCACCTGGAGTCCAGAAGCATGGCGCTGCGAAGCACGGTTGTCACAGCACATCCACTCCATCTCCCTTCTGACCCTGCAAACCCTATCATCCACAGCTTTGACCGCAGTTTCGAGCTGAGTCACCATGTTGTACAGCTCAGGTCTTATCACTGCCTTGTGATAGTTTCGCATCAGAGTCATCACCTGCTGCGTTGTGGTCACAGGTGTCGGCAACCAACTGTTGACCTGTGTTTGGTCATTGATGTCCACACCCATAGCGCCTGCAGTAACTTGGATGGCGGCTTGATAGTCCGAGTTGAAGGGGTGGATCAGCGTAGGCTCCTCCGGCATGGTGGATGAAGCCGCTGCTTGTTGCCATAGCTGGCGAGCCGGCACCAGCCTCACGGGGTATGGGCCATGGCTAGGGATGCAACTACTTCACCGCTTTGGCGGTGTGGTCGGGCAAAATGCCTGGACCAGAAAAACTTGCACAATGCTGTCGCGCAGGGCTTGCAGCCAATACGCCTATATCCGCAATATAGCTCAACCAAAAATTCTTCCTAACCCCCACAACGGTTGAAACCTTCAGGCAACCCATCATCCTTGCCCTTATCATTCAAAACCGAAGCCTAAGGGCGCACACAACAAAAACCAACATGCCGTCACTTTTGAACTTGGTTCTTGGCTTTTGGGCCTGCAAGGGCCTTGATGGGGTTCTTGGATTTTGTTTCATTCCCCTTTGGACCCAACAACTAACGGAAAAAATGCCAGAACACTTCCATCGAACTTTGATGTCAACTGTGTGAGGTTGCGGCAAACTCAATGGCCCAAAAGCCGAGAACAACGACGCTGACTTCCCATCGTCTTCCTTTCTAGGAAACATAGGCCAAAAACCAAGCAGCAATACTTAAGAGTCCTTGGCGTCTTGGTTCTTGCTTCCTGGGCGCCTGGGCCTCAATAATGGAGTTTTGAAGAGCCCACAAGACACTCCCACGAGAATCTGTTGTCCATATCAGCTGCTATTGTGCACGTGGTTCCTATGGCATTCTTGTCGAGCTGTCTTGTGTCCAACATGCTTTTTGAACCCCCTTGTTTTATATACATGTGCGGTGCTTGCAGCACAGGGTTCCAGCGCCTTGGCTGTGTTTGTTTGTGTTTTGTTGCTACCTTCTAGTGGGTTGCTAAATTTCAGGGGTCATGATCTGCAGTGTCCAAGCACCGAGCTCTCCTGGAGTTCTTCCACCCGGAGGATCTCTTGAGTACCCAGCCCCCTTTGAATTTGAAGTGTTTTCTTGAGAATATCCCTGCAGTCTCCAACTGCAGAACGTCCCTATAGTGCCCAAACCACGTATTTTCCGTCGCCCGATCTTGGTATTGTGATGGAATGCTTGCGAAGTATGCTGGTGTCTGGCGTGAGCTGCTCCTGGCCCATTCCAATTTCCAGAAGAGACTGACATTTTCAGATGTTGAGGCGCCTGGACATCAGGGTGTGACTCGCGAAGGTTCCACGCAAGCACAAGTTCACATACTAGCATCATCTTCGGCTGACAGAAGCATCAGAATTTTCAGGGTTCTGCATGCTTGCTTCTTGTGGTCTGGGATGGATGTGGCACCAGGCGTATGCAAATGGAATATTCTTTGCTTCACTTCTTCAAGGCTTCAAGTATCACCATCGACAAATGAGCACGTCCTTGCATGCGGTTGCGTAGGATGACACAAGTTCAAGCTTGAATGCATATTAAAACCATGCGCATGGTTATAGGTTGATCAGCAAGGTTTCGAACTGTGCTCATTTACACTTGCATTTTGATCGTGAGCGTTACATGCAAATTGCCACAATTGAAGTACAGGGCTAGTCCGGCCCAAGCCCGAAACAACCCTGGCGGTGATACACTGAGCACTTTCCGTCTCAGCCTTCTTGATCACTTTCGACATGTAGTCCCACCCACAGTTGAAATGCAGACTGCAGCATGCAAACAAGATGACCGGCCAACCAGAAAGAGATGAAATGTTGTCCCGTCCGTTCGAGGGCTCCGCTTCAAATTGCTTGCCAGAAGCATGCACATGAAGTAGAGTACAGGGGCCCATACCCTAAAATGGATTTGGCGCTAGAAGCTCCTAGCTGCTTGCGACGAGCGAAATGTGAGATTGCTGCAGGAACGTTCTTCCTGGTTTTTCGTACCGTTGCACCGATTTTGCGCAGCGCCACCAACCTCATTCTTGAACTTCTGCGAAATCACGCACCTTGTGACATACGTCATATCAGTGACATCCATAATCTGAGGCTGCCGAGTGTCAAAGGAAACGAGGTGTGAGCCGCAAATGCCCAACGTCGAGACTTTGGACTGCCGTGTTTATCTGGTCAACATGGTCTCTGTAAGAAGGCCTTTGAATAGGCTGTGCCGGCCAACTGTTGCACTGCAACTCTGCATTCACATGGAGCTAACAGGACTCCTGAATGTCAGCTTGTTGCGGCCCACGCGGAGGGAGAGTCCCACGAAGCCCGAGAACCTTGCAGGGCCATGGGCAAGACTAGGTAAGAATGTCCCTGCACGATGATGGCCGCTGCGGTCAGCACAACAACGCTGAATGGCGAGCAAAGGCCACAAGCGCAAGTCCACTCCGTGATTTTGATTGGCAACGTGATCTCCAACCTTTGGAACTGTGCTGTGCAAATGGGTATTGGTTCTTTCGGGCAAATGGAGCTCGGGAAATGGCACAGCTGGAGCCACGAATGTTGCAATCATCCTCACAGAAAACATCGAGGAAAATTGACATGGCCTCGTCAACCTGGCAATGGTTTCTCGCGCTGCCGCTACGGCTCAATACTTCAAACTCTTCAATGGCCAATCAGCTACGTGCCCGTCCAACTCCTCCCCATCTACTGCAACTTTACCGTCGCCGACCAAGCTGGTTCTTGATCTAAAGCACTTGCGGTTGTCCATCTGCCCGGCCCCATGGCCAACCTTCAAGAGCCAGGATTGGACAGCGCCCAGCCACTCCCCAAGTGAGACGGAGACTTGAGCCACAATGGTTCTGTATTTTTTTGTCCTTCTGTTTGTTTTTATGATTACGCAATCCCGAGAATTGTGTCGGGGCCTCGCCCCGTGGCGCAAGGATACAATGAATTTGTCAATGAGTAGCCAAGGAAGGGTTGATTCGAATGGCCTCGGTCCGTCTTGCTTTCTGATTCTCTCCTTCTTTCTATGTGTACTCTATTTCACTCTTTTAAATGCTATCTTTCGTCCACTCTTTTTGGCTTTCTTCCTGTCTTTCTTCTCTGTTCTCCCACTCCACACCAACTCTTCCGGTCTTTCCTTCAAAGCCTTCATCTACGGAAACAAGCCGCCACAGCGAAAATAAATTCAAAACAAAGTTTCCCGAAGTGAGCATGTACATATTACGCTCAGGTATGTTGCCGCTCCGTGCATACCTCTTGCCGCGTATTTGCAGAACTGTAACACCAACATGTCGGCCAGTGACAAAGAAAGGTTGCAGTTAAAAGCGATTTTATAGGGTAAGGGGCTGCATTTGCAAGCTTGACCTTGATGTTGGAAATCGCTCGCAGCCACAGCTTCCTGGGGCGCTGATCACCAACTGGTCTAACTCAACAAGCAAGTTGCCCGGGCCTCTCTGACAATGTCCGGCTGCTGAAGTCACGCTGCTCTACCTCAATTGTTCAAGTCCAGCTTCTAGCCACGCTTCTAACCGCTTGCTGCTTGGAGGTCCGGACCGAGAAGCAGCTGCAGTTGATGCCAAGCTGGCAATGTTTCTCTAGATTCTAGATGAACCAAAGAAATGCTTAGCATGTATGACTTTAGCCAAAACGTGCGCAGCTCCTTCTCTGCCACCGCCGAGTCAGCGCTGAGGCAAATGGCTGCCACCGGGACCTTCGCAACTGCTGGGATTGCTTCTAGGATTTTATACGCAGATCTTGAGCCTCACAGTTTTCATTCTCATACAGCACGAACATTGCCTCATTCAGAAACAGCACTTTTTCCAAGCCAAAGGGTCCCCCTCTGTGTGGTGCCTTGCCATCCTGGTGCGCTTGCAACTCGCAGTACAGGACAGATACGAGACAAGGAGTGTCCTCGAAGGATGCAGGGAGGCGTGCAAACAAAATGATCAAACATCGTGTGATGTTCTGAGCGGCTACCGGAGAGTCCAAATCTGGTGCTGCAGTGCTCGCGCTGGTCACTGGTCAAGCAAGCATAAGCAAGCCCCCAGCACTGTGCAGCAGGTAGCCCGCCAGAAGTCGGTTACGCGTACGTTCCTGAAATGGCCGTGCCACTGACTGGTTGTTTTCAAAAGCAAACAACACGTTCTAGACATTTCTGAACAAGCTGCCGCGGATGATAGCGGGTTGCACCTGTGTGGCCGCTGATGCGACTGCTGAGCAGCACGCTACGCTGCACTCACCGATGCCACAATCAAGGTCAGCGCGCTATTCGAAAAGGTGGAAAGAGCGACTGCGTCACCAACCGGATTGCGGTGGAAATGTCACACACCCAGTTTGACCGCTCCTACCACAAAGCAACAGATAGGGTGGAAGCAGAGCTTGCAAGCCATGACATCCATAACAGGAGCTTTCGTCCAGCAACGTGCCTCTTCACCTGGTCGAAAATGTACTGGTCAAGCAACGACACTTTAAGATCTTGAGCATTGCCTTCTAGCAAAGTCGGCGCTCGCACACCGAAGAAGTAGCATCTATTTGCCACGTGCAGATGCACCTACGCCGACACAGCTTAGGCACTGCATGCAACACTTTTCTTGTGCGTCTGGCCTTGAAGATTTTGAAATCAGCAAACTCCTTCGGGCACATTCAAACGGAATGTGTCCCCAAGTGAAACAGCATCTGTCTCACGGGACCTTAACATCGAAGGAGGTCGCCTGGAATTTGCAGTTGCGCACCTTGGGTGCAGCTGGATTCATGCCTGGAATGATGACCAGCGAGGAATCTCAGCAACATGCCAAAGTGAATGGCGAAAACGGCACTAGCACCTGGCTGTCCACCATTGCAAAAACTATACCAAGCGCGCTTGCCTAGTGTAAAAATGCAACAGGGCGACACCATAAACACAGCTTGCCTAGCTCAACCATCCGGATTTGTATTACTTTGCATTGTGCAGAGGATTTCCTCACAGAACCTCAGACGTCCCATGGTTGAAAGTAATTGCGTGACAATTACATTCAAGGGGCCGATTTGGAACTACTTGGTGTGCTACTTGCGAATCTCTCCTCCAACTCTTCGCATTGCGCTTACTACAGTACCACGACACCTACTGCTGCAAGCCCAAGGTCCAAATCCCTGATTCATCAGAACCTTGCACATTCATTGTTACCGTGCTACTAGCACACTTTTTTGTTGGCAGGCCTTCTTCGTCTCGAAGCAGACCGCAAGGCCGTTGATGAAGAGTGACACGCGCACTCTCCGAACTACATCCTGTCGATGCGGGCAAGTGCTTCTGGTGGCCTGAAAGATGCTGCCACACTCTGCCCGCACCTCTGTGGAGAGATGCCAAAGCTCTCCCTCACGGATCGGCTTGCCACCTTGTTTTCATGCTGCGTGGAGACACCACCTTACACACCTCAAACTTGGCCGCGCAGATTTGCATTTGCAGCAACACTTCACGAGCCCTCTAAAATGTTGAGCTTTGGACGCATTGGCAAGTCCTTGCAGGTGAGGCACACATCTGGTGGAGCTGTGCTTACCTACTGGCTAAGTACTTCGTTGATGGACCAGCGACACACGTCAACTTTGCGACAAATACTTGCCATCTTGAGGGAATTGCAACCAAACAGGCCTCCTCAGCTCTGTAGGACAGCATGCCTGACACCTGCCCGAAGCACTATCATTCCTGCTTGCGGGTTCCACTGGCTCTATAACCTCCTCCGCTGCGTTGTCCGGGTAGTCCAAGGATGAGATGGCCCCAAGACCAACCGCGACTGAACCTCAAGCACTGCACGATTCTCATGGGCTTTGGATCGCAAAATGGCGCACCGAATCTAAGAATAAATGCTATCCACTGTAGCTCGCTGGTTGCCCGCACGTGCGTTTGACCGTGCTTTTTGGGCAGGTTTGATTGCGAATTGAACGTTGCCTCAGGCATTGAAAGCGATTGGGAGCCCCAGTAAGCTTGTCCCCAGTGCCTGGCAGAGAGGCTCTCAATCCATGTTCAATACTTATTCTGTTCTGTTCCTTGGGCATTTTCCCTGCTGAAACCTCTGCAGGACCTTGCCCTGGGCCAGGCCGATGCGAAGCAGACCTTAAGTGTCTGGATTGAAGACGACAATTTCTTCAGATTGTTTGTGCAACTTAAGCCGGTGGATGCGGCTGCTGGCCACAGCGGTGATGCTTGGCTGCATTTTGCTATTGATTCTCCAGATGAGGACGACACAAAGGTCTAGGGTGGCGTCGCGAACGGGCATGCGTACGGGAAGCAATCTGGATGGCAAACACCAAAGCATTGCACCACTCGTTGTTGCACCTTACGGCAGGGTGTCATTTAATCGCTACTGCAAGTGCCGCCTCGGGGGCGAGGGGCGGGTCGACAGAGGAGCAAGCAGAAGTCATGCGAGGCTGCAAGCATGAAGAGCAACTAAGGGCTTCCAAAAAGGCTTGTGCTGGCCTTGCTGGATGTGTGTCTTTCATTAGGAAGGCGAGCTTTCCGATTGTAGGAGAGGCGTATTCTTAGTCTGCTTCGCGGTGAACTTAAAGTAGGAAGAAGGGCCGTGCATGCAGAACTCAGCAGCTAAGAGCGAGAAGTATTTCTAGCGACTTTGAGAGCCTAAAAGGGGGTGGAAACTCCTGCCTTGCTCGGGTCCCTAGATCTAGACGACCCAGGCCTGCGGCCTCGGCGGATCCATGATAGAGTCTGCGCTCCCAAGTCCCAAGTCTTTTTCGCATGTTGATAAGCGCGTTGGACTGTTAGCGCGATGAATAATCTTAAGTGACACTGACGCGGGAACTGTCGCGAGAAGCCTCCAGCGTCAAGGGGTATAGCGAAGGACCATCTCCTGGCATAAGCCCGGAAGCGCAAGGCCTGGATGGCCCTGCTAGGGAGCCATCAACCTGTGGACCCCAAAAGCCACATACGGAACTACTTCATGCTGAGGCGCCGGCGTTTTCGCCTTGCTATATCACACGCGCAGCCAAACTTTTTAACCGGGGTACTCAGGACCCTTGGTCATTGATACCTTCCGGTGACTTCACGAAAAGGAATGGCATCGCATATCAAAATCAAGTTGCTAAGCATCGAGCACAAGCTTGACAATCCACATCGCAAGCATACTGAGCATGAAAAAGCTAAGGGGTGCCAGTCAATCAGTGTTTTAGCGATTTGAACCCTGGCGTGGCCATAATGTAAGGGATTGGTTCATTTTTTAATGCTTGTGATCAGGCAGCTATTGTCGCTCTTCAGGAGTTGCGGTCGCGATCCTGCTGGCTGTATATACTGCAACTGCGGTTCAAAGGCGGAAATCCACCATTGCCCAGCTGCCTCAGCCCGACTCAGCGCTGCATCACCCCATAACTCCGTCCTTTGCATCGCCTCCGTGCACCAGCGTCCCGTTGGGAGAGAAATGCAACATATTCCAGCATCCATGTGACGCCCGCAACGGAAAACGAACCGATCTTGGCAGAGGATTGCTTACCGAAGGGCTCAAAGCATTCTCTGTGACCGTCAGTACTCTTGGATGCTGGACAAACTTTCCTGCGTGCTGCCTTAGACAAAGCTTGTTGATCCTTTGTTGACGACAATGCCATATGGCCATACTGTAGGCATGCGCCATCTCTGGACTTGAAAAGCTGTGTCCCTGGCCGAACGGTCGATCGTCTTCTGCTTCAACCTGGGCAGCTTTATGATCTGGACCAATGCGTGACCATCAAGCAGCATGGTAGATGTCTGTGCACGTCTCGGGCTCGAGCTTGCCAGCCGTTTCCGCAAAAACATCGGCAAAGATTTCCCGAGTGCATGATCTCAGTGCATCAAAAACACTATGAAAAGTCCTTCAGCTCACGAGGCTGAAGCGGAGGCCTTCCAGCAGCCATCGCGTCTGTCAAATGCCAATCATTGCCATGCGTAGGCCCATAGGCGGTCTCACTTCCGAGTACGAACTGAAGCGCTTCTTTGACAGCTCAGACTCAGTAGTATATCTCGCATCTGATAGTACATAACTTAAAAAGAATCGAAAGCCGGATGGCAACCGTGCGTGTTTTTTTCCTTGACTGGTTGGAGAGGCTTGCGGCTTAGGAGCAGCGACGGGCTCAACACTTCCCATGCTTGTTCTTCAGCAACACACACAGACAAGTGAAGACAACAACAAATCTTGGCACTGGCCTTCAACCATTCCAGCACTATCCAGGTTGGAATGAGGAAGGCCAACACCTGCATCCATGCCATCTTCAGCACCTCGTCAAAAAAACAAACTTCACCTTGCAAGATTGCCCAGATCGATATGCAACTCTTGCGCTTCGGGAACCATGGATGTGGATCAGTCTTGGTGAACGCACAATGAAAACATGCATGTGAACCTGTGCAGGAGAAGCACCGGCAGGGCTGCTGAGCCCCATGCCTCTGAGGCAAGGGGCACGTAGTAGACGAGTTGGGGGGGCACATCCATAGTAACCTTGCACTTTCCGGAAGACCACGGAAGCACATCTTGACAAGACTGCCGGCCAAAGTCAGACCAGTTCTTGTGATAGTGATCCGAAAGGTCTTTTAGTAAGTGAAAGAGCAGAGCTAGCTAGCTTTCCATGCAAGATGGTTGCTGCACTTCGTGTGTGGGTTTGCAAGCGACCTTTCCGGTGATAGGAAGCGGCACTGATGAGATGACCACAGAAAAGTGCGAAACGGAGGTCTTGGCCTGGCCTGGACGCGAAATCCTTGCTTCGGCCTCATTCTTTGCAGCAACTCCGAGGGCTGATGGGTGACGAGTGACGAGTGGCCTGTAATCCCACATTGCCGGGACCTC